GAAGCCAGTGACCCTCAGTTTGGCTTGTGTCTATGTCACTTCCAAAAAATATAATGAAACCATATCCCAAAATAGTAAAGATTTTACAAGCAAACACAAACAGAGTGAAATAGGAACATTGTTTAGAGACCCACTTGCAAATAGCACAGGTGTAATTTTTACAGAGATGTCTCTGCAAAGGTATATGCAAATTGCAAAGTTAATCTGCAGACAGCTGCTGCACTTCTTTCTAACTGAAATGATGCGTGTGCATGTCCAGACTGCAGCTACACTACTTGCCTAGGCCCTGAAGCATGTCTGAAATGCAAGCTCACAGATCACTTTCAGTAAGTTTCAGAGTACACACTGACTGAACTGTAGGAGGAGAATTCATTGCCCTCATTATGAGGCAGACAGCTCTATTCTGGGAGCAGTCTTAGCTAAAATTGCAGATGTGAATTCGAGAAAATAGAATGATCTTTTTCCCACAGGCCACTGGCTTTCAGGTTGAGAAAATGGTATTAGAATAAAGAACTTGACCTTAATGGTGAGGGTCTTCAGGAGAAAGGTTGCTCTCTGATCTGCAGAAGCCTATGGATGTGGTTTTGCTCTCATCTTGAAATGGTCTGAGAATTTGTTGTGCTCCAGTTCAGCTGTTTTTCCTTCAGTTAGAAGTCTTTTTCATTGACTCTGGGGAGAAAAAAAAAAAACAAAAGGTGCTGAGGTAGCAGAAAATATGTACAGCAAAGGTACGCAGGCAACAGAAAAAAAACTTTTAAGAGTTGGTAGCTTTTGTCATCTCACATATATGCTTGATAGTGACTCTCCTTTAATTAGATCAGTGGGATAAATATTTATATCTTTTGAGGTTTGCTGTTCATTACCTTTACCTCAAAGATGGAGCACAGAAGGAATCTTGGAAGTAAAACACAGATCTGACCTATAAAACTAATGAGCATAATAAATCAGGCATATGTAGATTAAAAAACATCTGAAATGTAACTGTGATTTTTTTCCTTTCTGCTTCTCCTTTTTCTTCTTCCTCTCTGTTCTGATTTACTTGCTAAATCACAATTACATTCAGTACAGACAGAAATTCAATTTGTATTTCCTTTTCCCCTGCAAACCAGAAGATGGATAATCTGCAGTTAATTTCTCATTTCCACAAAATACTGTGGAGAAAAGCAGCCCTTAAATGTCAAAGTTCAGATCTCGGAGTCACAGATGAGTGCATCGGTGATGATAACAAGACCATTGAAAATTAATCTATAGTTAGGGAGAAGACAAAAGAGAGACCAGTCCATCTTGTCTGTTCAATATGTTTGTCAATAAGTAGTTGTCTCTGATAGTTTTCTGATGCTTTGTCCAACCTCATTTCAAACATGTGAATTGATTACATTTCCAATGCTCCTTGGGAAAGCTGTTTCATGTTATGATAATTTTTTAGGGTGTTGGTTGGTTGTTTTTTTGGCTTTTCAAGTACCCACATGGCACCATTCCTGGTGTACAAGTACAAAACCTGGAAAATATTGAAGTGTTAATCACTCTGCAACTCTAATATTAAAGGTCGTTTTATTTCCTAACTAGTAGTGTAGACAGTATTACAAACATTGATTTTATCATATGAGGATTGTTCTGAAAGTAATGCCTCCTATTTTATTATGTTGGCCCATGAAGTCAGAGGTGAATGTTGATGTTAGGGCAGTGGAGGTTGAACCTTCATACCAGCATTCTTTTACATGTTGACTTGTGACAGATGGCCACAGAGGGTCTGTCTGACAAAATGGCATATGATGTGGAAGGGTGTATGAAGCAAAGGTTTGTCACTGAATTCCTCCATGTGGAAAAAATGAATTGATATTCATTGACGTTTGCTGAATGTTTATGGAGACCAAACAGTGGATGTGAGTACAGTGAAGCGGTGGGTGGTGCATTTCCACAGTAGTGACAGTAACATGAAAGAAAAGCCACATTCCTGACAACCATGCACAGCTGTCACACAATGAAACGAAAGCATCTCTATGACCTCATCCGCACAAATCAGTGGATTGTGACTAGGGAACTGCATAATGCGTACTGACTGCAGTGTATTGGAAACAATAGTGGCAATGATAGAATATCACAAGGATCACAAAGTTTGTGCCAGGGGAGTCCCACAAATGCTCACACAAGAATGGAAAAGAACACAGTATGCAAGTTTGTCAGAAACTATAGAAGCAATACGAAGCTGAAGGTGACAATTTCCTGGATTATATCATTACTGGTGAAAAGACATGTCACCACTATGAGCTGGAGTTAAAAGGCAGTCTGTGGAGTCGTGCATTTGAATTTCTCACTGAAGAAAAAATTCAAGACACAGTCCTCAGAGGGTAAAGTGATGTGCACTCTCTTTTCGGGTTGGAACGGGATGATCCTTCTGGATTTCCTGGGACCTGGAAAAAACATCAATTCTGACTGCTACATCATGACGTGAGCTGAAGGCTCCAACTTCAAAAATTGCATCAGAGAAGATAGCCTTTCACTTGCACAATAATGTCAGGCCCTATACCAATTTAAAGACCATGGAGCACATTGTTAGTATTGGCTGCACGTACCCACCGCACTTACCATGTAGTCTAGATTTGGTGCCTTCTGACTTTCATCTGTTCATGCCATTGTAAGATGGTCTGCATAGGCAACATTTTCCTAGTAATGATACCATCATACAATAATAATAGCAGCTGTGAAACAATGGCTCACCTCTACCTGTGCAGGTTTTACAAGCATAACATGCAGGCTCTTGTCCATTGCTGGTGAAAATGCATAGCTAATGGTGGTGACTGTGTTGAAAAATAGGGTTTGGTGGCTGAGAATTTGGTCTGTCAGATGATGTTATTTTGTTCTTTGAAACTGTTGTAGCTTCCGTGGATATAGATAGGGGACATTACTTTCACAGCAGCCTACGTAGTTTCTCAAATGTGTGTTAATGATGCTCAATAGAAGAGCTTATGACTGCCCATCTGGAATTTCTAGTGAACAGCTCATTCCCTTCTCTTGTTTTACATCTCACTTAACATCTGACTTATAGTACTGGCAAGTTAACATTTGTTGTAATGTATGTTTTTCAGTGAAAGCAAAGGTTTCAACTTTCACCAGCTTCATTGAGAGGAATGCTGGTTCACTCTCAATTACTTGGGAAAAATCCACTCCATTTATGTCAATCCTTAAGAAAACAAATGAAAAATAAACAAAAAGACTTTGGCTGATGATAATCACTTTTTCAGATATGTAAGATGCGTTATGATTTCAGTGACTTACATCGTATTGGAATCTGTCTATTGTGCAGAGCTGTGTAGTTTTATATTGTGCTACTGCATTGCTTGTGTTACGAGCACTGGGGCAAGATTTAAAAACAGTAGATTTGTAGTATTTCTTATGGTTTTAATCTAACCTTTATGTATTACACATTGCTCAGTACTTTCTTGACTTCCATCTCAAAGGATCCACAATCAGCATCCTGAACTCTGTAAGAATCTCATAATAATAGATCTATGAGGAAACTGCTTCCATCACAGAAATGATGAGAATGCTGTGAGTAGATCTCTAGTTTGCTGAGTATAAATTATCCTTACAGTCTCCAGTGTTCAAGATCAAGTTGTAAATTACTCAGAGAAAAATTTCTTCCAAAGTTGGGCCAGATGCATTTGTATGATTCTCAGATGCTGCTCATTACTTGCCTGTCATCTGAATGACTCTATAATGGCAATTCAATAACTTACGAGTGTCTTTGAAAAGATTGTCCACTTAGGGTTTATATATACGTGTTAGAGTTCTATGGAAGTCATCTGTGAGATGTCTGAAGCTTAAAAAGTATAGATCATCTGTAACAAATAACAGTGGCCACAAAGCTGCTAAGCTCATTGTAAAGATAGTGCTGTATGAGAATCCACCCATGTTATTTGGCAGTAAAATCATCTGAATACTTCAGTGCACAGTTTTTAAGAGCGGATTTGCTTCCTTTTATTTTTGCCTTGTGTCTTCCCTGAGCAAATACATTCTTGGGTAAAGAGGGATTTTACTGTGTGTGTATCTTTGTAAGAGCATGTGGAAGACTCAGTCCTGTGAATCCTCGTTAAAAAATTTGCCTTTTATTCTGGGTCAGCTCAGCAGACTGGCCATTCAGGCTTCCCTTTTTATCTTGTCCCTTGCTATCTCACTTGAACCTGCTGGGCAATAGCCTCCCTGCTAAGCTAATTGCTTCTAATTGCAATGTTCTTATCACACCAACCTCAATGCTGGTAGTGAGCTGTGCTGTTGCAGCTTGAATTATGAGTAAACCTAGATTCTGCTTTGTATGATCTGAGAAATACACTGCCTCATCAGTAAATGCAGTGAAAGAAGTAAGGTTGTGGTCCCCAGCATGGGCAAGCATCAAAATTCACACTTATTTACAGATGCTGAGTCATAAATTGTTCTGCATTGCTCAGCTTTCATGCTGAAAAATGTGACAGTTGAGTAAAATGCATTCTCTGCCTTGTAACTGGGCAGTAGGAACACGTTCACAATTGCAGCTTTTTGTCAGTAATTCTGTTTGCGATGACTCTGTGTGAGCTCATCAGCTGCAGTTACTATTTGTTATAACAGTGGGCTGTTCTCTTAGGTAAAGCTATGTTTGTAAAAGATGAATGTTACCATCCCGAAACATATTACTAAGTCTTCTCCCAGGACTGAAGCCAGTTGAAATGCATCTAATTTTCTCTGTATGCTGGCAACAGAAGATGCTGAAGATTTTCCATTTTTCCTGTGAAGTTCTAACAATTTTTCTCCAGCACAGCAAGATGTAGCATTTGCTTGAGCTGGTTCAGGGAGAAACAGCTCTTGGGCTCTATGTTGACCTGCAGGTTTTCATCATGTAGGGACCATTTCAGAGGTGACCTTGTCTGTAATGCAGTAAAATGTTAGATTTGGGTTGGCTTTTGTGCCCTGCTTGTTGCAGATTTTTGGCTGTTAACTTCCCATTCAATCCCTTTTTCATTTAACAGAAGACAAGATCTGGACTGCAGTGCAGCACAACAACACAGGGCTAACCAGAGTTCAAGGAGCTGGTCCAGAGAAGCCCTACACCATGTCCTTTAACTACAACAGCAGCTCAGAGCAGCTTGAAGCTGTGATAAACAGTGCGGAGTACTGCGAACAGGAGGCAGCCTACCACTGCAAAAAGTCACGTCTCCTCAACACCCCGAGTAAGTGTCATGAGCCCAAGTCTTTCCTTGTTAACTGCTATTGATTATACAGCAGGTGCAGGCTGCACTGCGACTAAGGAGAAAGAAAACTGCCTGGATAGTAGCAATTCAGGCTAAAGTGAAAAGCCTTTGACTTTCTTGGGTCCTGCTGTGTGCTGGCTGTCCTCTGACATCAGATGGACAGAGCTCTGCAGGGGAGTTTCCCAGTGTGTAAGTCCTTGAGTACAAAGGGTATGAAAGCTTCTGCAATGGAAAACAGCTCTTGGAAAGTACTTCCGCTGTGCCGGCTGGTGGCAAATGATTGTTGGTTTTTTTGCTTGTTTGTTTGTTTTTGTTTTGTTTTCATTTACAGGTTTGTAGCTGTATTAAAAGGAAAGTGTAAGACTCCAAACTTACGTATTTCTGGTCAGGAAAGTTGTACCAGTCCAATAGTCCTGAATGTGATGTTTAAAATGCTTGGTAGAATAGCTCCTGGGGCAAAAATTATTTTTACCTCTTGGTAGAAGGAACCAATTTTTTGCACTGATTTAACATGGTAGCAACTAGAGAGCAGAGAGGGTCTGATCAGTTTGTGTCTTTTTGTGATAGCAAATCACCAGTGGCTACTCAGGGTGGCTATTGTGTGACCTTCTGATGAAGCCCGGAGTTTACATCTGGTAATCCAAAAAAGGAGGAATGCCCTTGAAGGCAGGCTTCTGGATGCTTCCAATTTTTTGTTTGGTTGTTTATAATGTCTGTATGGTCCCGATGATTCTCCAATTATTAGGAACCCTTAAATTTATTAGTAGGCTAGGAGAAATCCCATGGAAAACCTTACGGGAATCTTGTAATGGGAGATCCTATTGTGTTAAAAATACACTGCCTAATGAGATGTAGAAAAAACTTGACTGGTTTCAGTAAAGTTATTATAAATCTGAATATTTATGGATCCAGTAATCTGGTGCCTTATGAACAGTTTATTTTCAAAAGCTGTTAGTCATGTCTTTTGTTACCATCAGAATTTACCAGTTGAGAACCGTTTGTATTGCTGATAATTTTTTGAAGAGTGAAATTTTAGCATCAGCACCCAGAGTAGAGCAGAAAGGGGATATAAAGCACAGACATAGCTGCTCATGAAAACAAGGAAGAATGTTTTGCCAATACTTTGTGTCATTGGTTGCTGTTATTCCACGCCACCCATGACGTGTTACAAAGACATAGTCACCACAGAGATTATTTCTGGATTATTTCTTTTTTTTAAGACCACAGTGTTACAGCAGGTCTGCATATATTTAATTCTTCTTCTGTCTGATATTTTTTTCATGTGCATGCAGAAAGAAACAATATATGTTGTAGTACATCTTGTATATAGAACCTCTGTAAAGCAGCTTGCAGACTTGCTAAGACAATTCCTGATAGGCACTTGTCCAGGAATAAAGGTGTGACACCAGTACCTTGAGGGAGAGGGTATTAGGATGATGTCCTGCATACCAGCTTGCTCTCTTGCAGCTGTTGCAGTGCCACTGGGCTCCTGACAGTTGACCATGCAAGACTCATAACTCTTTAATACATGATAAATCAGAAAAAATTACAATCTTGAGCTCTGCATGTGGCAGACTATCATTTTTCCCCTTTCTCTTTCTTCTTTTTGTATGCTTTTTAATTACGCTTTCAATTTTTCATCGTGAACTTTCTCTGTAGCCTGAGGCTATAAGTTTGACTAGACTTGGAACATGCTCAAAAATAAATTGTCTGAGCTGCTGAAATGATGAGGTTTGGGGAACACTCTTGTTCTTAGCTTAGTGTTACATGTTTTTAAGTAGTAGAAAGGAATATATTTCCCCAAAGCCTTCTGTATTTTTGTTAATTGATATTCATTTTGAGGTGAACGATTGCTGTATTAGAGAAGAACCTAGAGCCTAGTGGTATCTTGAAGAGTCCTAAGATTTAAAAATTTCCACTACTAAGCTTATAGGTGTGTGTGCATTCAGGGCATTTTTCTGGGCACACTGTGGAAGACTCCCACCTGTTTATGCCCAGTAGTAATTGATCACTAAAATTGATTAGTACAAAAATCAGAACTCCTGGGGTTTGCTTGTTGATTTGGCCCAGGTTTCTGAATACCTGAAGCATTTTGTTCTGCAAGAGTAATGCTTAATTTTGGTTAACAGACAACATTTATATATTCCTTCAAAAGTCAGTATATAACTGCATGTGGTGATGAGAACGTTGCATTCATGGGCCAGTAGGGAACATTATGTCACCTAATCCATCTTGATGAATATCATCATTCGTTAATAGTTCTGGACCAAGCCCAGCAGTGTGTATTTGATGGAAAGACATCTTCCAAAAGTGTATCTGATCTTGACAGATGTACAGAGTTCCCCCGCCATCAAGGGATCTAATTCATTTCTGTGCTTCATCTACTGTAGAATTTTGTTCTTATTTCTTTTTCTTTTTTTGTCCTAGGAGATGGAATATATGATTAAGATATCTCAGCTGGTAGCAACAAAACCCCAAATCCTTGCCTTCAGGATCTAAACACTATCGTGCTTCATAGAGAAACAATAAAGAGATTTCTCTTTTCTTTTTCTTCCTTGACTTCACTTTGCAAGGAAGATTTGTGCTGTTACGTAGTAACTTTGACTTTCATAGCTTTGACATGGCAGGAAAGAAAGAAAAAAATTAATGTGCCCAGGCAAAGGGACAAGTACTCTGGGCAGCCTTTGAGAGAAACCAAGGGAGGTTTCTGGCTTGCGTAAGATCGTTTGAGTTTATATCAGGGAATTTGTCTTTTTGTTCTTTTTCCTACCTCTTGCCTTGAAGGCATAGGCACCTCCTCAGTGGGTGTAATTCAGTGTAGTCTCCCCATTGAGTTACTTGGATTTACATCTGCAATGTGTCAGACATGCAATCTGGCAGTTGGCAAAGGAGTTTACTCATCTCCACCTCCTGCTGTCTGAAAAAGGCTTATCAGTTCTCACTGTCATACTACAGTTTAGCTGCAAACACGTCTTTGAAAACTGAAATTAAATTCCTTTGAACTGTGTTTTTGAGCATCTCTGCTATCAGCTAGATTTTCAGGAGGTTTTTGAATGTCAGAATAGATGTCTGTTCATCAAAGCTGGCTTTCACGATGCTGCCAAATGAAACTTCCAATTTATGACCAGTAATTGTAATTCTCTTGTGACTTCTCCATTCCTGTTGGAGAGACACCCACATAACAAGAGCAAGTATGACGGTTGGCATTAATTAGAAAAGTTATTCACAGGAGACTGGAGATTTTACCACTGCCTCATCCTTTGAAGCACATACTGTCTGCTGAGGAGCAGATGAGCTAGTAGGAGAAGAAGGGGTGTGGGCAGGAAGCTTGGGTACTTCTGTATGTGCTGTCTGTATGCTTGGAATTTGAAGACAGATTTAGGTCATAGGGCTCTAATTTCCTTTCCTTGAGGAGCGTGTCAGGTAAGAACTTAGGACAGGAGTACATGAACAGTAATAGGTATGTGTGAGCACTTTTAATTACACTGTTAGCAAACAAGATTTTTGAAGGTATAAAAACAGTTCATTAGTCAACTAACATTAATTAGCTGAGCTATGACTCAATTTGCTCAGGTTTCTAGAAGCAGTGCATTCTTAGGAGTGCCCTCAAAGGCTTAACGTTTGCAAAGAAACTTCACATCCACCATATCAAGGATTTAACACAGTGATAGCTGTGTCAGTGGCAGGATACTTGGTTCACAATACATATACGTGGCTGACAGTCTGTCAAATTCGTAGCATATTTATATAGGCAGAAACTGAGAAAAGATCAGTCCTAGAGCAAAATCAAAGAAATAGGAATGTCTTTTTTTTTTTTCTTTTGCCTTCTTCCTTTTATTTTTTCTTGTCTCTTTCCAGTATAATCCCACACTACGTTGCTTTAAGTTTGGTTTTCAAATGTCTATCCTAAAATACACGTCTTTTCTGAACCTTTTCCCTGTCTCAGCACTGAGGTGTACCATATGTTGTTTCCAGCTCTGTGACCGTATCATGACAGACATAGCTGTTCTTCCCTACATCTGTCCTTTTGTGTTTTGTACCCCTCTTACCAGAGGAAAACACAGTTGCAAGAAGTGTGTCCTACTCTGAATTTAGACTTGATTCTCATTGTTGAGACAAATTGGTCGTATCTCCATAGCCCTTAGCAAGCAGTAATTTACCCTCGGGTTTTTGCTCGCTACTACTTTGTGCCTTCCAAATACGTTATTCCATGGTTCCAGACACTTTGAGTTGTTACTGTGTTACCAGGAGAAGATTTGCCTTTGTCTATAACAAGGCAGTCTGCCCTGAAGAAGTGGATCGTATTAAAGAGAGTGTTGGGCACACGGCAGCTCTCGATTGCATGATGTAGTGATTCCTGGCTAACTAGGATCCCCTTCTTGAGAGTAATTGGCTTGGCATCTGTGTTTCCACCAGTGCACCTTGTCTCTCCCTTCCAGTGTAGCAGTTCAGACAAACTGCTGTATTTAGAGACTTTGAACAAAGTTTGCCACAGTAATTTAATATGGGTGTTTGTCAGCTCTCTTTCTCACAGAGACCGATTTAGAGGCCATTTTGAAAGATGCTATATTGTTAGCAGTATGCAGGTGGTCTAACAAAAATGAAAAACATACTGCATGGACAAAGTAACTTGACATTTAGTACTCGTGCACCTGTGAGTAATGGAATATCATTATCCCAATTTCTGACCTTGTACCTCCCACACACAGTCCCTCCTGAGTGACAATAGACAAATATTGCTATATCTGCTAAGGAAAGAATGCCAGCTGCTTGGATTACTTCTGCTCTAGTCCCATTGGTGTTCTCTGAGACTGCAATGCAGCAAAGAGGCCAAGCAATGAGAAAGACATGGACAAAAAATCTTTGCAGAGATACACTGGGTGACTTCTGATTCAGTGGAAGGAAAATGCGCTCTCGTCTTGAACCTAGCTGCAGAAGACAGCCTAATGCTTCCTGATGTGTTTCTGGAATGACACCAG